TATTTAACATTTATTACAAATTGTACTTATTTTATTTTTATTATTTATTTATATTTATATTATTTTATTATTTTCGTTCTTTTTTCGCATCCGTTTCGAAACACTTTCACATTTTAATCGATATCTATTAACTCAACTTAACGGGCTTACGCTAAAGCTTTCGAAAATCAAAAAGAGTTATAACTTCTTCAACTTAAAAGGATTTCGGACTTAACGAAAATGCTATTCGCAAGATAATTGAAAACAAAGTGAAAAAGATTCAAGCTTTTTTACCTTTCGTAAATGCTTCGAATTACGTAAGTATCCGTAGACTTCTCCTTGGACTTAAAGCTTTTAAAATGCTTGCTTTCGATAAAGCTAATATTACGGATTATATTCGCTAGCTCGAACGAGCGTTTAAAAACTACGGTATCGTTATCGATTCGGAAAAAAAGCAATGCTTTGCTAAATATAATATTTCTAGCCTTTTCGGTTATAATATACGTTATAATATTAAAAGCTTCGGTAGCTTTTCGGATCCGAAAGTGACTTAAGACGACTTTAAATCGGTAGTTAAAGAAAAGTATAAAGCTTTCGACTTAGCTAAGTAAAAAGATAATATTAGCTTCTTAAACGACTTAAGTAATAAGTAGATAGCAAAAGAAAGAACTTTTAAAGCGGAGCTTTTACAGTTCATTCGATAGTTTAACTTTACGAGCTTTGCTTATTTAACTAATAAAGATATTACCGATAAGCAGCTAAAGTAGAAGTTCTTCGGTTGCTTATTATTATCGATGCAAAATCGGACTTAAAAAAACGTCAAACTTAAAAAAGATCACTTGCAAACGTATAACATAATATATACTATAATAAGCGATTTAATCAAGCAAAAACAAATTATTACGAAACGGATTAAAGAATACGGCTACGTCGAAATCTTTAAAGCTTTTTCTCGCTATGACCTTTATTAAAACGAAAACTTTCGTTTTTAAATACCGTTTATTATTCCCGAAAGCAAGCGGAACTTATACGTTTCGCTTTTTTATAGCACTTACTTCGATAATACTTATCTTTTTCTTTTTTACCGCGCAAGCATTACCGCTGCGAATTCGATTACTTCGTTCATCGATCTTAACTTAAAGATCGAAGCTCTTACAGAACAGCTAGCGAAAGTTAATATTTACTTAAGACTCATCGACAGCTTCGCTTTCGTATCGAAAAAAGCTTATATAAACTTATTAAAAGCTGCTTAATACAGAGAAACTTAAGAAATTGCTTTGCACCGGGTCTACGAGATTAATACGGCCGACACTTATTCGAACCGAAACTACGCTACATCGGAAAGGAAACGGTCTTCAAACGACTTTAATTATATTTTCTATTAGTATTAATAGACTTTTGATCTACTTAGCTATTAATAAAAGCTTTATAAATATCAAAATCAATGCTACTTGTTTATACTTTAATACGGATTAGCTTTTCATTTTAACGAAGCGGACTTGATATATATAAAACTATATTAAAGAAAGATATTATCGATCTTGTTTTAATTTCGAAACGACACTTTTAAATACGAATAAGTTCTAAAAAAGGTTCGTAAAACGATAAATGATCTTAATTTAAAACGTCGTTATAAAGCTTTAAAAGCATAACGAGAATCTATTAAAAAAGCTGCACGAAAACGCGTTAAAGCACTTATTCGAGCAGCTAACAGCAGTAATGCAAAGGCTTTTCGTATTAACGACTTTAATACTTCGGACATGATTCGCTAGCGATGCATCACGATAGCGAATTTATATGCTTACGTGTTTAATACGAAAGCTATTATTGCATCGGTAAAAACTCGAGCGCGCAACGCAGCTTTTCGAGTTACGCTATACTCGTTAAAAGACGCTTTTTCGGCAAAAGCAAAGGTCTAATCTATTTATAACTAGCTTAAAATTACTTTCGCTAAACTAATAGAAATAGATAAGCTCGAGCCCGCTTATACCGCGATTCTTAACCGAAACGCTTTACGACCGAAAGACTTACGGAATCTTCTCGTTACATTATTAAAAGCTTTTAAAGCTGCACCTAAGCTTAAGGCCAAGCTTTTTAAAACTATTAAATTATACGAAAAGCTTAGTAAAGTAATCTTTTCCTTAAGAATAGATTACGAAGCGACTCGTATTAAGCTTTTAAAAAAGCGCGATTTACTTAAGAACCTAACTTTTAATAAGACTATTGCGTTCTTCGCTGCTTTTTTTACTTTTAAACGATCTTTTTCCGAAAGTATAATCGATAAAATAATTCAGCAAACCTTTACTAGCGAAAGCGCTATTAATTGCTTTTAAGCTACGGTTAGCGTTACGGAAGC